ACCCGGCGTTAATTGCACAGCCCCGCACGCAGAAATGCGATCGCTTAAACGTCTTTTGAGCTGACGTTTCGAAGTCTACGTCATTCACGACGCTAGACCAACTTCATGAGTCATTGAGAATCAAGTTGGCACCAGCGCGCTGGTGCTCTGGAGTCACTCTAGCGCGTGACACAGGGAACTTCGCATGTACGAGAAAGAATCGCACCCCCCCCTCCCCAAACACACACACACCAGATGGGCACCAACGACACTATCGGTCTCATCCTTAGCTCAATCCATCCTATCAATTCCATGAATCACACGGTATCTTCCATATACAAGGTTGCCAACACGTGACCCAGCCACGAACCTCAGTGCAGAAGAACAACTGATACCCAGCTGGTAAACTCACAGCACTCAAGCAGGCCGCCAGCCTAGCTGGGTAAACAAACGCATACCTCAAGCTCCTGCTCACGCTGCAGCGCAAACTGCTTGAACGACTCGACGATGATGCCCGCGCACGAGCAGTCGTAGACGTAGATCGACGGCGTGCCCATCCACTGCTGCAGATCGTACACCGAGAGGGGGATGTACTGTGTGAAACTCTGCAAATACGAGAACGGGCACATCATTACTAATGCTACTCGTGCAGGGCAATGTTAAACAGCTCTGCTGCTGGTCACACACACGCACGCACACGCGCACGCACACAGAGAGAGAGAGGAGTGTATTTCATGAAACCGTGCAAATGCAGGAAAACTGTATATCACATCTTTACTAGCACAACACAAAACAATGAGCAGTGCAATATTAAATGTATTTCTGACTGACCATTACGATAATTTACTCATTTGCCCAATGGACTGAAAAACAGTTCTAGTCAACCAGCAATGCACATTGTAAAGACAAATCTCTGTTACGACGTGCCGCAAAGAGGACTTTTTGGCCTGGACCCTATAGAAAATGTGTTAACTTGACTGATCTAGCAACAATATCCAAGAGAGGGTGTGGTTATCTCTCTCTCAGGCATATGTGTCAATTCTAAAGTCAGTGCATGGATCGGTGATTGATCGCAATGATACCAGTTGCTCACGATAATTCTAGAGTAGGCAGTAAAGCTATCCGTGTGTACTGGAATGTACACAGCCGTCACCTTTACTTGTTCTATGGGGAGAGATTTGCTCATTGATTGATGTTTGTCGATGTGCAGCTTATGACCACACGGCAGTCTTACATATTGAAAGAGCAACATACTTGCTTAGCTGTACACGATAGCCATGATGCTTACTAAGCAAACAGCAATATCTAACCTTGTTGAAAACCCAGATCTCGCCATTAACGGTTGGTCTTGGCACTCCGTGTCCATTGTAATGGAACAACACACGTTCTTCCTGTAATGTTAAAAGCAAAAGCTCAATATTAGAAACAATGACAATTTGTTCCTCCCTCTCTATCACACTTGCTCCCTACCGGTTGTAATTTCTAAAAATATTTCTAATGGTGATTGAACCATGAAACTTTTTATGTAGCGCAATTATAACCTAAATTAGCTGAAAATAACCCTAGAACCTAGAGGCTACTGTTCCTTTAAGTGATTGAGTGACAATTATAGAGTCAACCCTGTGCATAAGAGTCACTCAAGGGGAATAGCAAAATTGCCCATGCTAGAGTCGAGTTCAGATGATTATAGAATTATTCAAATTTTTTCTGATTACACATAGAAACTTGCCCTTCCGCACACCCTCAATCATAGACTTCTTTCATATATACACCACCTCGATCAGATAACCTTTACCTCATGTAAGTGCCTATTACAGACAGGTATCCATTTTAGAGTAATGATTTCATTGTATAACTGCTATTCAAGAAAAAATCCCACGAGTGTCCTACAGACACGCGATCAATCTATAGAAGTAGCTTCACCGTGTAACTGCCGTGCAAGGCAAAACATTGACCTTTACAGACAGGTGACCACTCTACAGAGGTAGCGGCTCACCTCGGGCACCTCGTCCTCCAGCAGCGGGTAGAGCTTGATGTGCGCGTTGTCGCGGACGCCGTAGCCGCGCGCCGCGTCGCAGTCGCGCCAGATCTGGCCGACGCAGATGCAGAGCCATTGTCGCAGCAGCGCGTGCGAGTCGGTCAGCTGCTCCAGGCACAGTGAGATGAGGTTTCCCTGCAGCACCGCCTCCTGTAAATACGCCGGCATGCTGAGAGGGGCAGGACTCACATGTATGCACGCGCGCACACACATACACATACACATTCATTGATAAACACGCACTCACGCACGCACGCACACACGCACTCACACATACACATTCATAGACAAATACGCACGCACACGCACGCACACAAACACACACACACAGAGTTTGTATAGAAGAAGAATATCCCTGTACTATGGCTGGAGTTCAAGTTTAGACAGTCCGAATAATACCTGTCCTTGTGGGTAGCCACTGACTATCATGGCTAAAACAAAGGTGGCCATTGTCCTGTGCTCTGCCTGTCGAATCACAACAAGAACAGTAATTAATAAACGATTAGCATGTTTCCCGAGCAGATGATCACGAGTAATACAAAATTGCTTGATGAATGGTGGGGAAATTAATATCAACGTTAGTGCCACGCTGGCGGCATGTAGACGGACAGACAGACAGACAGACAAATTCAAAGTGTTTCCAGAATACCCCCCCACCATAACTCGTTGGGGGGGGGGTATAATAACGGACTGGTGGCAACCAACATCACACTAATGACTGATAGGATCATGTAACTAGTTATGCTTACTGGCATGCAGGGATCTGCCAAGACAGATAGGAAATATTTTGTGACCATTATCGCTTGAACTAAATCAGTCTGACACGTCTGCAAAAAAGTGAAAAACATTTTTTGTATAAAGAACGAAACATTATATACAAATAGTTAAAAACCAGACAAATAGTAAGAACAGTTACCATGTGGATCACCGAACCACCTGATGATTTTTTCGAGGTGTTTCAGCAGTTTGTAATTTTGTATTTGAAGTACGTACGCTATTCCAGCAGCGAGGATCTTTGCCCAGATAAACACCAGTAGAGGGCGCAGCTCTCTTGCCGAGCTCTGCAGAAGCTTCAGCACATAGGGAAAGATACCGACTGACAATGCCAAGGGAAGATGCACACAGCCATTAGACTATACTACAACGCGGATATTTTACAATATACGAAAAAGCCAATGCATGAGAATGCCTCAACAGCTAACATGACACTCATTAAAGGAATACTGACTCCTAGGTGCTAGGATTATTTTCAGTTGAGTTAGGTTAAATTACGCTACATTAAAAATTTCATGGTTCAATCACCCATAAGCAAATGTTTTTTTTTAATGAACATTTTAAACTAACGACTACAGTTTGATACAACGGACGATGGCGGCCACTCAAGAAGCGCACTATCTGAAAAAGTTGCGCAAACGGACTTTTCAGCAAGGACTAACAGACCGACGGTGTGTTCAGTGTTTCTTATTTATTAATTTAAAAGGCAGAAGGATTGCAATATCTTATAAATGACATATAGTTTCAGTTATAATATGGGATAAATGGTCCTAAAATGAATATCGTTGGTGTTAATTGCATTTAAGTATAAATTATAATTGCACTTTTGTGATATAGCCTCAGTCTGTAACGTGCCCAAACTAAATTACTAATGCACAACTTTTTCAGGGTGGCAGCCATGATCGCGGGTGTCATGTCACCGCCAAAAATGTAGATTTTTGAAATTCAATGTTGCTTTTATGACAAAACGTGAATACGGAATTTAAAATATTTATAGGTATGTGCTCATTATTTATCAATCTACTATCATAATAATCACTCTCAAATTCTGTAATAAGCATTCCTTTAAAACTGTCACAGTCATGTCGGAAATACGTTAATAAAAGAGGAACCTGCAATGATTGCACTTTGATGGCTCAACTAATAAATCAATTTGGCACGTGTAGGACTCTTAATCCAATCACTGCCATTGTATTCGTTAGAAGATCAAGAATTTACCGAAACAGTGCCTCTAGCTCGAGTAACTCCACCAAGCGTACTGCCCAATGGCCACAGGTCCCGCAGAACTGCCCAACAGTTCCAGTGCACGCAACCTGTGCCACCTGACTCAAATAGCACCTCCGGCCAAAAAGACGCACCAACATGAAGTAGCCACTCACCAATAACATTACCACTATAAATGCAATATATATTTACATTTTATTAGGCCAGCATATCAGGCAGAGGTAAAACCATACGAACTCAAGGTTGATCGCTTCACGCAAAACTCTTACACTTAGGCCGCACCTTCAATTACTGCTTTACGTCTTACAGATACCAAAACGTACTCGCTATCGCGACAGGTATGGACAGAGATCTTTCCCTCACCTGTGAGAAACGATGGGAAGCTGCTCGGCGAGGGCTCTTGTCTGCGAGCCAACACGGACAAGCCACACCTGAGAAGGCTGGTCAGGCTGCTCTGGCAAAGAACAGACCTGTGTCGATACGTCTCACCCCTCGTTCAGAGATCACTGGACGCTGCCGGACAGACATATATCCAGCGCCAGGTCCCACGCCACTGCCTGCACGCGCACACGACCGAGACGAGAACGGTGGGCTTAGGGCGTACGTTCGACAAGCAAGACGCGTATGTGCGGATCTTTACAGTAATTAATTCCAAAGCACCCCCAACTTGGACCTAACTAACTCCATGTGTTTTTGCACATATTTTAGGAGAAAGAGGGTGCCCAATACATTACTAAAAAAACATATGCTTTAATTATAGTTGATTAAATTTAACGCATCAAAGATAAAAACAAAAACACCCCATTGACAATAGACAGTCTTATGGGAGAGACCTACTGTGCGGAGGCTTATTTAGCCATGGCTTTGTGTTCGTCACCTGCTCCCACCATGGGATGCTGATGAGTCGCAAGGAAGGTTGGCGACTAGATAATCGGGATGCAGTCGTACGACCTCATTGATTCGCTCGCCAATAGAAAGATTTGCGAAACAACGCTAGCACGACGACAAAGATCCTGTCGGAACAAACTTCTGAAACAAGTCTGAACCACGAATTGAAGTTCCATCCGTCCAATCCGCATGACAAAATCACTTTATGCTACACTGCTCAAGTGATAAGGGCGTTCTCCCAATTAGTCTTCTTACATTATCTATATTACTTTTTTCCCCTGATGTGCACGCAGCTACAAGCATGGTACACGCTCAAGTTAATAATTAAACGAGCAAACAAACTAGGGTTTCTAGCACTGTGTGTAGGGTTACCGGAAACTGGAACACCACTCGACGCGCCCCCGACCATGTTACAACTGTTAGTCGATATTTAAGCAATGTTTCACAAATTTCCTGCCATCAATTGACGTGCCCAACTGAATCATCAGCCCCATGTCATTGGCAGTTATTACCTCGCCGGCATGTGCCCGGTGTTCCATGCCCGATCGTGTCGTCGGTGATCGGCCGGTAAATCCAGTTGAGGTTCACCGAGCATCGGGCGTCGGCGGTCCGCTTCAACTGACCTGGAATTCTATTGCCAGAACGCTCTAAAACACACCAAATGAACACACTAAAGCAAGCTACCATGAAAGAGCTAAATACTGCAACTAGCATTGAAAAATCTATCTCTATTATTCACCATGTATAATACATTTAATTCGTCACCTCAATTTCCGCGGTATCAGTATTTTGGAATTTCGTTGCTCATCCAAACATCTGCCCTTGTAATTTTAATGTGTAAGAATGTAGAGACAGATTTTAATAAACACCTACTTGTCAATCAACTCCAGAGATATAATTTCGGTAACTAGCTTTGCCTTCGTTCTGAAGCACAAACCTGCCCAGCAAAAACGCCAATGTTTTGACAAGCCCTCTCATTCAGATGTCGGCTTCACTTATCACTACTCTACACACAGTCCCAAGGATGATCTTGTTTCGAAAAGCAAAAAACAAAACAAATCCAAAACAACTACAATCAACAAGCCGTTGTACTACATAGATGCCAGCTAAAAAAGAGACTGAAGGAGCATACAATTTCTACAGCTGTAAACAAGGATAATACTAGGCTGCATCTGAAAACACACAGGCTATTGTCATCATGTTTTATTTCGCTCCAAAGGTTTATCCACCGCAATTTTCCCTTGAACACTTTTGTGAAACGTTAATCACAGCTGTTCGAGACAACAGCACAAATTTTCCTACAGTAAACTTCTAAATTCCAAGAACAAAACGGCTCAAAATTTGCCACCATTCCTCCTTCTTACTCCCTAACAATTAGGTGCCAGAAAATTTATCGGAAGAACCAGGAGAAGGGCGAGGAACAGAGCCCAACCCATCAAAACCTTCTTTTTTTAAAAGTTAACACCT